TAGACACAAACTAGGAAGTGCAGAACTAGGATTCAAAGTGTGGTAGATTCCAAAGTGTAGGTGGTTGCACCATGTTAATCTGTCTTCTGTAACAGGTGAAAAGTTTGTATACATCTGGAGGTGGAGTGGGAATGCAAGCTTTCTGATTCAAATTCTCTTTTGCCAAGTGCCATACTCTAATGTGTCACAAGGCATAAAGGGCAGAACTTGCAGCGAGTGCTGTGAGCTCCGGAGGGGCTGAGGGGCATGCACTTGTGTTTGGGCCTCAGTGTGGCCTCATGCAGCACTCCGTGGAAACTGACCTCTGGGAGGAAGGCTGCAGAAGGAAACCTTGCCTGAAGTCTTGTGAGTGTTGTCATCACTGGTTTCATCAACTGCTCCAGCCTCAACTCAAGAGTGGTGACAGAGGGGCATCTGTGCTGTTGCAGTAAGGCTGCTGGTTTACCTGATAACAGGGCAATTTTAGAGGTGAGCATCACTAGATATTCACTATGGCTCCATAAGGGAGGGAGGCAGGCAGGTATCGTCACCCCTATGTTAGATGTGCACACCCGATGAGAAAGGTAATGACCTCACTAGAGCTCTGCAACCAGAAATCGATGGCTTCCTGGGCGATGCCATGTCTCTCCTGATTGTAAATCCATGAGCTCGTGTTGCCTTTGAGTAAATTTGACTACTTTGATTCTTCCAAGGAGCTCTGGTGCCATAGTGATTAAGGCATTCAGCTACTAAAAAGGTCAGCAGTTGTAACTCACCAGCTGCTCTGAAGGAGAAAGATGAGGCAGTCAGCTTCCATAAACATTGACAGTCTTGGAAACTCTACGAGGCAGTTCTACTCTGTCCTGTAGGGTTGCTGTGAGTTGGAATAGACTTGATCACAGTGGGTATGATTCTTCACTCTGGGCCTCAGTTGCTGTGCGCCTGTAGGGGCAATAGAGGTCTTTTCTGCTTGGCTGCTCTGGGAATTTTTGCTCCTGAACTCTTTGGAAGCATCGCTCTTACAACACGTCATCTCACTGGATTATAAGTCTTTTCCACGTATCTGCCTCCCCTGTGCCTCAGTTTTCACCCTCCCCACCCCACTAGCTTGAGCTCTTGGTGTTCATTATAATGTATGGCTCACAGTAAACCAAACCAAACCAAACTCACTGCCATTGAGTTGATTCTGACTCATAGCAACTCCCATTGGGTTTCCAACGCTGTAAATCTTTATGGATGCAGATTGCCTCATCTTTCTCCCACAGAGCAGCTGGTGTGTTCCAACTACCAACCTTCTTGTTAGCAGCCAAATGCCTTAACCACTATACCTCCAGAGCTCCTTGTGGCTTATAGTAGGAGCTCAGTAAATGCTTTTTGGATTGAATTATGTGCAGGTGAAGTCAGCCCAGTGCCCCCTCCTGCTGCTTTTAGAGCATGGGAAAAGAAAGCAAACTTTTTTCCTAGTTCGTCCAAATGAATGAAGTTGAATGAAGATGGCTGAGTGAGACCTATGCAATGTTCTCAGGCAGCCACTAGATGGCAGCATGACCTCACGTGGACCCTGCCTCCTGTGTTACATGGACTCTTGCTGTTCACCCTAGGATGCTATGATGCTATCTGGTTGTCTTTTGCTTCAAGACATCTTTTGGGAAATTACCTCTGCAAAGCCAGTTTGTACTTGGTGATCTGAAGCTGCTAAGACTTGGCTTCCATGCCTCCTTTAAAAGCTGGGTGCTATAATGAAAAAGGCTTGGGCTTTGGAGTCTAACCAGGCCTGGATCCTTACCCTGGCTTTGCTTTTACCCAGGAACTTAGTCTTGACCATGTTACTTCCCTGAGCCTCAGTTAAGTTTCCTTATCTTGTAAAATAGCAATTACTGTACAATTAGAGAAGGCCCCACATGTCATAGGGGCTCAGTGGATGCTGGTTCTGTCATTGCAAATTCCTGTGTTTGCCTTTCACCTCTGTAATCTGGCTCCATCTTGGCCATGTGATCTTATGTAGCAATTTCCTGCACTTCCCAGCAGGTCTTCTAACCCTCTCTGCTGCATCACTTACCATCCCTAACATCACTCCATTAGTTAGTGCTTAGAATTTTCCCTGCCTGGATTCCTTCCTCCTGCCTGTCCATTTCTGTCCCAGCCAGACCAACAGTCTACCTCACCACCTTAGCCCTCTAAATGTCCAGAGCAGTTGGAGTCTGGACTCTAGGGGGCTAATCTTGACTCCCCACAGAGCTGTAAGTCCATGATCATCCTTGTTTTAATTATTTTGGCTCTGTACTGTGTACTTAGCAAGCACCCTGCAATAAAAATAACAGGTGCTATTATTGAGCACACACCAGGCTCTGGTGGCATAGTGCCTAAGGCATTTGACTGCTAACCAGAACGTTGGTGGTTCAAACCCACCAGCCACTCCTCAGAAGGAAGTGTGGTCAATCTACTTCTGTAGTGCCTTGGAAACCCAAGGAGGGGTTGCTGTGAGTAGGATCTGACTCTATGGCAGTGAGTTTGTTTTTTTTTTTTTTTTTTTGTCTAGGCCTTTAGTTAGGTACTTTGCAGAATGATTTTATTGACTCCTTGAGACAAATCCATGAGATGGAAACTATTACCCCATTTTACAAAGAAGGAGTGTATCAGGATGGTTTTAGCTCTAAGCAGTAAAAAAAAAAAAAACAAAACACCACTGAGCTCTGGTAGCATAGTGCCTAAGGCACTTGACTTCTAACCAGAAGGCTGGCGGTTCAAACTCACCAGCCACTCCTCGGAAGCAAGATGGGGCAATCTACTTCCGTAGTGATACTGCCTTGGAAACTCATGAGTCGGGTCCAACTTGACAGCACATAACAACAACAACAACAAAAGCTGTTTGTAGAAAGGAAAGTTTATTATGCTTATTATGTTATCAAAGAAGGAGTCCTGAGGGATACTCAGTGGTGGTAACAAGAATCCAGGTCATTGCGGTCTACCTGGCAGCCTACCTCAATGCATTTGTTTAAATACTAGGGTGACTGCTGTGGTCCCAGGTGCCACAAGCAGGAGAGATGATATAGGTTCCTTGTACTTCCTTAAAGAAGCTCCTCAGAAGATTTCCTGCAAAGCTCTTCTTAGCCAGTGTTGGATCTTAGGTGCATTCCCAAACCATTTATTTATTAGCAAAGGAATTGGAATTACTGGGACTTACTTATACTAGTCAAGATTCAGCTCCTGAGAGTGAGGAGGGTGATGCAGCCCCCTCAGCGCCCTATCCACCTGGCCCAGGGAAGAAGAGGGGACAGGAACGAGGCTCAGCAAGTTAAGTAGCTTGCTCAGCGTTGCAAATTCACTAAGAACTGGGATTCAAACCAACATCTGGCTGACTCCAGAGGCCATCTGTTTGTTGACTGGAGTAAATCACACAGGTAGAAAGAACATTACCCTGATTCTGGTCTGCTGGATTTGAATCTTGGAGGTGCCTTTTCCTACTGGTTCTGGAGTCTTTCCTTTCTCTAGGCCTTTTGTCTTTATTGTATTGGATTTTCTGATGCCTTTTTCCCCCTACTCCCTTTACCCTTATCTTCCAGAAACTGCTGCCTCTCTTCTAGAATACACTTCTTGCAGCTGGGGAGCGAATCAGCTGGGCAGAATAGCCTTGCAAAAATGGCAGGGAGGACACATGTTCTGAACTCCTCTAATCCCACAAGAGGAAGACAGGATTACCAGCAGTAACCCAAGGCCTATTACTGCAAGGCCAGACATGCTGCCTCCCTCTAGCCCTTTCTCCAACCGTTCCTCCCAAAGCACCACCACCTCTCTCCTGGGTTCGATAATTCACTGCAGTGGCCACACAGAGCTCACAGATTATGGGGTTTATTAGGGAAGCACCACAGGCTACAATTCGAGTTCAGAAAAAATGCTCAGCCTCTCTCCCAGCCCACCGTCCCTCAGCCAACAGTCTCTTTCCCAGCAGTGCTGGTCCCTCGGTGTCTCACTCAGCAATGTATGTCTCTTGCATCTCTTTCCCAGCAGCACGTGTCTCTTTCAGGGGCGTGTGTCTCTTTCGGCAGCACATCTTCCTCAACCAGCAGTCAGAGAGAGTTCTGCCTCTAGGAGGCCTTCTGTTGAGCCTGGCAGGGTGGTCAAACTAGCCAATCACAGCATCAGAACTCTAAGCATCTGAGAGAGAGTGGGAACCTCCCAGAACATTGTATTGTGCCACGCCCAACAGAAATACACCACGTGGATAACATTTATAATCAGGAGCTCCTCAGTTGCTCATTCCACCACTGCGTTTACAATGACTTATGGGTAGAAAAGCCATACTAAGTAATTTGCTACACTGCAAGCCTGAAGGCTAATCTCAGCATAGCTGTCAAGACCTTGTTGTTGTTGTTGTTAATGTGCTGTCAAGTCGGACCTGACTCATAGTGACTCCTCCTTGGGTTTCCAAGGTGGTATCGCTAAGGAAGTAGATTGCCCCATCTTTCTTCCGAGGAGTGGCTGGTGGGTTTGAACCACCAGCCTTCTGGTTAGCAGTCAAGCGCCTTAGGCACTACGCTACCAGAGCTCCCTAGGAGGGGTCAGATTGGGGTTTTTGTTTAGAGTGGATAAGGAGCCCTGGTGGCGCAGTGGCTAAGTGCTTGGTTGCTAACCTTGGAGAAAATGTGGCATTCTGCTTCTGTAAAGATTACAGCCTTGGAAAGCCTACGGGGCAGTTCTACTCTGTCCTGATGAGTTGGAATCAACTTGGCAGCAATGGGTTTTGGGTTTTTTTTTTTTTTTTTTTGCAGGGGTGGGGTGGGGCTGGTTTAGAGTGGATAGAGTTGCTTCAAAGGCCTTGTAAAGTCCAGGAGAAGTGACCAGAAACAGTGTCATGGAGTCTTGTAGAGGGCCAACGGTGACATAGAATTCGTTGATGATGTGTCAGTGGGGATGTAAGCAGGGCACATGGGCCAGGGGCTTGGGATAGGCCCATGTGGGACAGCAGCGAGTGGTCACCCGCAGAGACAGGGCAGTGATTCAGAAGGCTGCTTGGCTTACAGATGCTCCAGGACTGTCCGAAGGCCCGCAGGGAGGTGGAGCTGCACTGGCGGGCCTCCCAGTGCCCACACATTGTCCGCATTGTGGATGTCTATGAGAATCTTTATGCGGGGAGGAAGTGCCTGCTAATCGTCATGGAGTGGTAAGCAGCCCTGCCCATTCTGTCCTGGGCCCAGCCTGCCCCCACTTTTTGCATGGGTCCCCTGACTCTCTGGAAACAGCCTAGGCATGGATGCTGAAGCTTTATTCTGGAGGCAGGGAGCAGTGGTTGGCAGAGAGTGATGGTGGGATGGCAAGGGAGGTGCTGCTCCCCACATCTCACTGCGGCTTTGTTTTAGTTTGGATGGTGGAGAGCTCTTTAGCCGTATCCAGGACCGAGGAGACCAAGCATTCACAGAAAGAGGTAGGAAGGGTCTGTTTGGGAGGATGGGCCTTGGGCAGGCAGGGTAGCTGTGTCTGAAGGGTTTTTAGTGCCCTAAAGTGCCTGCTCTGTATGGAAAGTGCTGAAGCCTGTTGGCTCCTCCTGCTGAGGGTGTCAGCCTCAGCTGAGGCCAGGACAGCACCTCCTGTCTTTGGTTTGGAGGATGGGTGTAGGGAGCCTTAGGCTTAAAGGGGGCTGGTGTATTGAGCTTTCAAACCTAGTGACACACCTCTGTCATATCCTTTCCTGCTTCTGCATTCTTCTCTCTCCAGAAGCATCAGAAATCATGAAGAGCATTGGAGAGGCCATCCAGTATTTGCACTCAATCAACATTGCTCATCGGGATGTCAAGGTACTAGCTGTTCACACCTCCAGGCTCAGGAGCTGCCAAGGGCCTTGAGGGCAGGGCCCTGGTGACCCTAGGAAGGGTTGTCAGAGCAGTCTGGCTCCTTTGCTGCCCTTGAGCAAACCCACAAACCCAATAGTGAAGCTTCTCTGGCCACACTCAGCCCTGCGGTTCTCCTCAGTCAGTGCCTCACATTCGCACCCTGGTTTCTTTCATCCCTGCAGGGTTTGTTTCTGTGTGCTTGTCTCTTAGCTTCAGGCACACTGGGAGCTAGCTCTCTGAAGGCAGGACCTGGTCCTATGTGGCTGATATTCTTTATAGTGTGTAGATCATAGGGACTAGACAAATGATTGCTGAATGAATCATTGCCCTTTTGGTTTCTGGTAGCCCTCAAGGCTCAACAGGGTTATTCTGTATCTGTCTCTCCTCTCTGCAGCCTGAGAATCTCTTGTACACCTCTAAAAGGCCCAACACCATTCTGAAACTCACTGATTTTGGCTTTGCCAAGGAAACCACCAGCCACAATTCTTTGACCACTCCTTGTTATACGCCATACTATGTGGGTAAGTCCAGAGAGGTCCAGGGACCAAGTCTTTCCCTGGACTTTACTCAAAACCTCCTCTTGTAGGTCTCAGGGGGATGTAGATCTTGGGAGAATTGTGTCCCCTGCAGGGCTAGTTCAGATGTGATCTTGATCAGAGGCCGACTCATCAGAGCTACCCTGGGGCTGAGGAAATGAAGGGAAATAATCTGCCTGAGATGTATGTTTTTCCATGAGAAGAGCCATCATTTCCATTGGGCTCTCAGTGGAGTCTGGGACCTAGATTTTGTTCTGGAACCTCAGCTGTCTGGCCTGGAATTAATTCTCAAAGAGTTTGTCAGTTTAAATGGACAGCATGAGTCTGAGAGTTTTGCAGTTCAGGGATATTTTTAGTCTTAAGATTCTTGCCCTGAGGTTCCTCTTTGGAGGAGGGTCTTATGCTTCCCTTCTTCCAGCCCTGAGGTTGGGTTAGGGCTGCTCCCTCTCCCACCCGCAGTTGCTATCCTGTCCTGGTAGGCTTAAAGGCGGGGAGGGAGCATCATCCACAGAGAATCTGGGGAAGATCGCAGTGTCCCAAGGGCCAGGCCTAGCACATTCACCTTTGGTTTGCAGCTCCGGAAGTGCTGGGCCCAGAGAAGTATGACAAGTCTTGTGACATGTGGTCCTTGGGTGTCATCATGTACATCCTGTGAGTGTGCTGGGGCTGGGGGCAGGAGCAGGGCTGTACCTCTCCAGGAGGAGAGGAAGAAGCAAATGTTAGCATCCTCTTTAGGGTGGTAGTATCCCTGGGAATCCCCTGCATGCCCCCTTGTCTCAATGCTTAGCAGATTGTGATAGCTAAGAGGTGGGTATAAACTATCTGTTGGGCAGGAAAGTGTGTGCTTTGGTCCACTGGTATGTTGGATTCCTGGGCTGTATCCTTGACTTTGTAAATTGTGACTGATCAATGAGCCCATACTTCTTGGTAACTTTTACAAGAAGTGAAGCCTGTTCTTCACCCTTTTCCTAGTGTATGTTCCCTAAATAACACTAATTCTGCCCTTCTTTTCCTGTCTCCTCTCTGTGCTCAGGCTGTGTGGATATCCCCCTTTCTATTCCAACCACGGCCTTGCCATCTCTCCGGGCATGAAGAGTCGCATCCGCATGGGCCAGTATGAATTTCCCAACCCAGAATGGTCAGAAGTATCAGAGGAAGGTAGGAGGCTAGGATTTCAGGGCAAGGGGCAGAGTCTATTTGTGTGTGTGCAAGTGTGTGTGTGGATGTGTACATTTGGACAGCCTCCTCACATGGGTAGTATAGCTGTGGGTCCGTACCCGGGCCTACATCTGCCGAGTGTGTCCTGCTTTTGTGAATGGTCTGAGTCAGGGCTGGGGCGTGGGGCTTTGTAGGGCTTACCAAACCTCATAGCTGAAAGAGATCCTGGGGCCAATTCCTCGAGCAGTCTGTTTGTGTATACCCCTCCTCCCATCTTGAACCTGGCCTTCTCCTGAAACCTGTGGGAAGGAGCAAGGCAGGGAGAATGGCCCCTGAATTCTGTCCCTGTCCCCTGCCCAACACCACAGTGAAGATGCTCATCCGAAACCTGCTGAAAACAGAGCCCACTCAGAGGATGACCATCACGGAGTTTATGAACCATCCCTGGATCATGGTGAGTCCGGCAGGCCAGGGATACCTGGGTCCAAGGGGGCTACCCCTCAGGTGGAGGGTTCAGCCAGGACACTGCCTGCCCCAGGCTTTCACTTAGATCCCTTTTCTCTCCTCCAGCAATCAACGAAGGTCCCTCAAACCCCATTGCATACCAGTCGGGTCCTGAAGGAGGATAAGGAGCGGTGGGAAGATGTCAAGGTGAGGAGGTCCCTGGCCAAGAGGAGTTGGGGAGGCAGCTCCCCAGGAGTGTCCAGGGCTGGCAGAAGAGTTTGGCTCTGCATTCTCTCACCCCAAGGTCATCTTTGTCACCACAAGAGTAGATGCTGATCTGCTTTCCTGACCAGATTGGGGGTAGAGGTCTCTGCTTCCCAGACCAGATTGCAAGCAGAGATTCTGTGTCTGGTCTAAACTCGGCAGCAGGCTCCATACTCTCTGGGTCTCGAGGAGGGACCATAAGGGTTATTTGGCACAGTCTCCTCATTTTGCAGATGAGAAAACTGAGGCCCAGAGAGAGGAAGTGACTAGTGCAAGGTCACACAGCTAGTGATGGGCTGAGACAGTCCAGGACCAGGTCTCCTGACTCCTAGTCCAGTACTCTTTCTGCCTTACCTCGTGGCTGTCTCCTGCTGAGTCTCGGAAGAGGCTCTCAGGGAGCACTGTGGCAGTGTGGTGGCCGGGCCCTCAGTTGGCCCAACTTGGGGGTGAGGCCGCTGTCAGCACCTTGGACCAACTAACCGGTCTGTATTTTTCTCTCTCTGCTCCTGGTCCCTGTCTCCCTCACCTTCCCCTTGCTGTGTTGCTCGTCTCTCATGTCTCTTTCTTCTGGTCTCTCCTTCTTGTCCTTTGCTTTTCTTTCTGTCCCTTTCCTGGTGCACCTCCCTGCACCCAGGAGGAGATGACCAGTGCCTTGGCCACAATGCGTGTCGACTACGAGCAAATCAAGATAAAAAAGATTGAAGACGCATCCAACCCTCTGCTTCTGAAGAGGCGGAAGAAAGCTCGGGCCCTGGAGGCAGCAGCCCTTGCTCACTGAGCCGCTGAGCCACTCCTGCCCTACTGGAGGGAAAGCAATAACTCTCTACATGAATATATTTTTTAAAAGAAGAGACACAGAACTGTTCACTTATGCCTCCCTTCCTCCTTTGCTGCATGGAGCCCAGAATGTTGTCGGTGGCTGAAATCTGACCCTTTGGCCACCACCTGCCATGGTTCTGGCCAGTCCCAGATGCGACAGGCTGGGAGGCTGGGAGGGTGAGGAGAGAAGGGAGCAAGATGCTCTTGAACCTGTGCTCATTTTGCAGTTTTATCAGTAATTTGACTTAGAATTTTTATGAAACCTCTTGTATTGTCCTTTCTCCCACTCTTCTTCCTTTTCCCCAAACCCTGTCCCTAGATACTGCAAGCATTTGGGGTTTCTTAAAGGGTATTTGTGGAAACTGTTAGAGGGTGTGTCCCTGTGTTGTCCCATCTACCCTCCCTGTTTCCCTGCTGCAGCCTGAGGCCCCTGCTGGCTGAGGTGCCTGGGAGCTGAAGGCCATGGAGGGCTGGGGCCAGGATGCCACCCACCTCCACCTGCAGCCCTCAGACCAGTATGCGGGGTGGATAGGAAAGTGTGTGTGTGTGTGTGTGTGTGTGCACGTGTGCCTGGATCTGTGCCTGGGACCGTGCATTTGAGGGGCCAGCAGCAGGCAGGGCTGCAGAAGGGGCCCTGCTTTGGCTCAAAAACCTTCTCCCTCCGTGGGCCTGCCCTGCCCATGTTGGGCCCACAGAAGTGCCTGGGAGGTCTCTCCAGATTTGGGCAGGCCCTCTACGTAGGGCCTATGTCTCTTAGCAGGGTTTCCGGGGCAGAGAGGAGTGATTAGGCACTGGCATAGCGATCAGGAAGACTGGGTCCCAGGACTTCCTTCGCCCCATACAGTGCTGATCCTGGTCCTCTGAGACACTGATCTACCAGATAACCTCTGCTTCCCCTTCCTACCACGATAAGCCCATTGTTTATTTTTCTTAAATTTTTAGTCATTTCCCAGTGGGCTGCCTCTCAGCTCACTTGGGTGAGTCAGGGCAATTTATGGTGACATTTTTACATTCACGTGTCTCTTCTGGGCTGTGGTGGCCTGGGCCGGCTATGCCTCATGGGCAAAGGCAGAACCACATTTGTGGTTCCACCTTAAATTTCCATTGTGCGGCCTGGTGGGTTGGGGGGAGTCTTCTCACCAAAGATGTCCCGACTCTGTCCCATTTTCCAGTAGCTACTTCACCCCCATCAGAAAACAAAAAAAAACCTCTACTTATACGTCCAGGTCAGTGAGGGGGGGAGGGGGGCCCTCCCTGGTATTAATGAGGAGCAGCACGGGGAGAGGCCCCTGTGTTGTGGTCCCCATTCCCTCTGGGAGGAGGGATGGCGGTCATCCTCCAGCTTTCATCTCCTTCAGGGGCAGGGTGGCGGGGGCACCCAGGGTCCCCTCGGCATAGAGGGAGGGCTCAATGCCAGCAGCACCTCCCTCTCTGATGGCGTGTCCAGCACTCAGATTGTTGTAAACTGTTGTTGTTTTGTATGATCGAAATTGTCTTTACTAAACAGATTTAATAGTTGAAAGTTTTTCTTTGCCTTCATTCATGGGGCTCCTCTCCCCTCCACACACCTCTTCTCTTCCCATATGTGGAGAGTGGTTTTGGTTGTTGGGGAAGGCAGAGTCCTGGGTGCCCTGGGAAGGAATGGAGAACCTTCTGGGTGATGGGAACCTGGACCAGGGTCTGGTATAGGGGTGGTGGGTGCTGAACCCCTTTAGAATAGGGCCGTGGGAGGCAATGGAAGGTTGGGCTGTGCTCTGGGAGGAAGCTGGGACTGGGGAGCCCACTGTCTTTTGGTAAATACTGAATTAGCCAGGCTCCTTTTTGGCCTGCAATTGCCACAGCCAGATGCTGGTACCCTCACCTCAGTCTAGGGGTGTGGTGGCTGGCATAGGGTTGGGGAGCAGAGGGGGGTCGTGGTGATTTGGTTCAAATCATTGGAAAGAGACCTGGGAAAGCAAGTTAGTGTAGTACCTGAAAGTTCCAGGAGGGGGCGGGAGGAGTCAGGCAGAGCCCAAACTACACTTCAAAATTGGAAACAACCTGAATTACCTATTCCTTTCAATTTACAGATGAAAAGACTGAGGCCAGGCATGGGAAATGATGGGTTGTGGTAGAGGCTAGGGTAGAGACAGGCCAACTGACCCCACTTTCCTCCCCATTATCAGTTGAGAAACTGTGTCATAGAGCATTTCATATATACTTCCTCCGTGATCCTCAGGACTGGGAGGGGAGACGAGCAACAGGCAAGGCAGGGTGGTAATTCCTGTTTTATGAATGAAGAAACAGACCCAGAGGGGGAAGAATGTGCAGGAGGTCACACAGCTAGTTGGTTTAGACTAGAAAGAACTTAGGTCTAGGATCCCAAAGCCTGGGTAGTCTCAGTGCCCTCTCTCCTGTCCCCTCGGTAATCAGAGGGAACCTGTCTGCACTGCTCAGGGCTTTTAGGAGCAGGCAGGGTACACTGGCCCTATCATTCCTTCCCAACTTGTTAGTGTGCTGTTGAGGTTGGTTCCTGGCTTGAAACTTGATCTGTTACTTTAGAAACTGGTCTCTCAGTTAGTCAGCTTGCAGTTTTGCTTTCAGAAAAATCCTGTTGCCTGAGTACCTGGAGCTGCCAGAAGTAATGGGAACCTGGGGGCAGAGAGAAGAGGAGGTGAGGGGGAGGGAGTAGGCTGACAGGGAAGGTGTGAGAGCTCTGCTGTCTCTGGAGGAGCTGCTATTGCTTTGGTGGTGCTGCCCTAACAAATGTAGTGACTTAAAACAACACATTGATTATCTTCCAGAGGTTCCACAGAGTCTCCCTGGACTAAAATCAAGGTGTCGGCAGGGCTAGTTCCTTTCTGGAGGCACTAGAGAGAGAGAGAGAATCAATTTTCTTGCCTTTTCCAGTTTCAAGAGGCTGCCTGCATCCCTCCATCTTCAAAGCCAATCAACCAACTCAACTGCCATCAAGTCGATTCCAACTCATAGTGATCCCCTTTGGGTTTCAGAGGTAGTAAATCTTTATGGAAATAAATTGCCCAGTCTTCCTTTTGTGGCATGGCTGGTGGGTTTGAACCACCAACCTTCTGGTTAGCAGTCAAATGCCTTAGGCACTATGCCACCAACCTCCTTATCTTCAAAGCCCTTGATGGCAGATTTCTCTAACTCTGCCTTGACGCATCTCTCTGACCCAGGCAGGAATGATTTTCCACTTTTAAGGGCTCATGTGATTAGATTGAACCACCTGGATAATCCAGGGTAATTTCTTCACACACCCCCCCCAATCACAAAGTCCCTACCCTAGTCACATAGGGAGGGTCCCTTTTGTCACAAGTTTGTTTACATTTACCGATGGATGGGGCAGCCATTTTCCTCTGCCTCACCAACCTCACACTCCTGCCTTTAAAAACTGAATTTCCTTTACACCCTGAGTAGGCACGGCCTACCCACTTGTCATTCACACTTCCACATTTCCTGTCTCCAACCTACTCAAAGGAAGTCCCCAAATTTACTGTTACTGTTTACCAACCCTACTGACTTTCAGCCCCAAAGCACAGAGTCCTGTCCCCAGGCTCTGGGAAGGACTGGGCACCCAGCCTATAGTAAAGCTACTAAAGCTGCTTCAAGCCTGGGTTCCCTTTGCCGTCTGGCAGGTCAGCCCATTGGAGGGTGGAACTCACATAGTGACAAAGGCCACCTGTCACCCGGCATTCTGCAAAGCTTTTACACATATCATCTTATTGAACTCCTCACAATAGTTACAGAGTGTAGCAGTATCACCCCTACCTGTCATGAAAAAGGAAACCGAACTTTACTGGTGGAGGAAAAGCCAGTCTGTATCCTTCCTTCAACCCATCCCCTGTGTATTTTTAAAGGAGCTCTAAATTTGGAAAGGAGTCCCTGGGTGGTGAAAATGGTTAACATGCTTGACTGCTAACCAAAAAGTTGGAGGTTTGAGTTCACCCAGAGGTGCCTTGGAAGAAAGGCCTGGTGATCTTCCAGAAACAAACAAACAAAAAAATCAGCTATTGAAAACTCTACAGAGCTCAGTTCCATTCTGATACACATGGGATCCCCCAGGCTTGTGAGGCTACAATACAACTTTAAAAAGTCTAAGGCACTGCACAGGGGGGCAAGGACGGCCACTCCTGAGCAGCAGCCCTCCTCTCAAGTAGGTCTGTGCCTTGGCTTCTTGGGCCTACATTGTGATTCAGCTCATCTTTCTTGGTGTATAACATCCAGTACTAAGGACTTTGAGGGGTACAAAGATGAGTAAGAAGGGGGGCTAGCTCTCATGGCACTCAAAGTCTGGAGGAGTAGATGACATTAATATAATGGGAGGCAGAATGAACCAGTGCTTTCATAGACAGAGCAAGTGGCTATCACGGACAGTGTTGGACTACCCAGTAAGCATGGTAAGCATGGGTTTACTTGTACTTACTAATCTGTAGTGAAAATTTCCGCATTTTTTCACCATATCAGAGATTCTGCTTCTAGGTATCCCAACCCACAGCACCTTCCTATAGAAGGTATTTATAACCCCTGACAGGGATGGGCACCCAGTAAGCAAGCTTACTTACTAATCTGTAATGAACAGTTGCACATATTTTTCACCACATGTTAAAGATAACTCATGGAGGAGGTGGGGGGACCCTTTGAGCTGGCCCTTGAAAGACAAATTTGATGGCAGAGGACAGCAGAGTGGATATTTTCCCATTAGATCCCTGCTCTGGTGTCTTCCTTCTTTGGTTCCAGGTTCACCGCCTCTGTCTTCTGGTTGCAACTGCTGTTGGGCTCAACTCCCCATGGATTCTGCCCATGGAAATCTGATTTACTCCCCTCAGTGGAGTCCCCTGGGTGTTTTTTGCCCATCTCCTGCTTCCAGCTCCTCCAACCTCGATTCCTCTTGTTCATGACGTGTACTTCCCCAAAACCAAAATCATGGACTCTATCCAAGGGGGATTTCCTCAAATATTTTTAAATTAATTTTTTTTTTTAACCTTGAAATCTGTTGCTATGGAGTTGATTCTGACTCATGGTGACCCCGTTGTTACAGGGTAGAACTTCTCCTTAGTTTTCTTGACTGTAATCTTCATGGAAGCAAATCACCTGGGATGGATTACCTAGTAAGTAAGGTAAGCATGGGCTTACTTATGCTTAGTAATCTGTAGTGAATAATTTCACCTGGGTTTCAAGATGTGGTGAAAAATGTGAAACCGTTCACTACAGATTAGTAAGTAAGCCCAAGTAAGCCCGTGATTA